ACCAACACTGTTTATGGTGGGGATGGTGTGGTGCTGACCTTAACTTGGGACGTTGTGGGTCGGTGGGCAGAATACGTCGATGACCTCCTCAATCCTACCAGCACATCTTCCCAAGAGGTAGCAGAGCCTGGGGACCCTGGGTCGGACTCTCCAGTCTCTGGTGCCGAGGTCACCAAGGTTGTTAAAAAGCTCCTCGGTGGCAAAGCGTAAGGAGTGGATGAGATTCGCCTGGCGTTCTTTAAGGCTCTGGATGTTGTGGAGTTGCATTGGTTGATGAGACTCTACAATATTGTGTGGACATCAGAGACAGTTTCCCTGGATTGGCAGACCGGGTTGATGGTCACCCTATTTAAAAAGGGGGACCACACAGTGTGTTCCAACTGTAGGGGGATCGCACTTCTAATCCTCTCTGGAAAGGTCTATTCAAATATATGGAGAGGAAGGTCCATCATATAGTCAAATCTTGGATTCAGGAAGAGCAATGGGGTGCTCGTCCTAGTCATGAAACAGCGGATCAGCTCTACACCCTCAGCAGAGTCCTAGTGGGTACATGGGAGTTTGCTCAATCAGTCTACATGTGTTTGGTGGACTTGGAGAAGGCATCCGATCGTGTCCCTCAGGGAGTCCTGTGGGGGGTACTCCGGGAGTATAGAGTACCAAGGACTTTGATATGGGCTGTTAGGTCCCTGTATGACTGGTGTCAGAGTTTGGTCCACATTGCTGGTAGTAAGTCACCATCTTGTCACTTTGTCACCAATTTTGTTCAGAATATTTATGGACAGAATTTCTAGGCGCAGCCAAGGTGTTGAGGGGATCCTTATTGGTGACCTTAGGATCGCATCTCTGCTTTTTGCGGATGATGTGGTCCTATTGGCTTCATCAGATCATGATCTCCAGCTCTCACTGGAGTGGTTCACAGCTGAGTGTGAAGCGGCCGGGATGAGTATCAGTGCATCCAAATCCGAGACCATTGTCTTGAGCCGTAAAAGGGTAGGGTGTTTCCTCCGGGTCGGAGAATAGGTCCAAGTTGAGGAGTGTAAGTATCTTGGCGTCTTGTTTACGAATGAGGGAAGATAGGAATGGGTGGTCAATAGGCAGATTGGTGCTGTGTCTGCAGTGATGCGGGTGCTGTACTAATCTGTCATGGTGAAGCGACAATTTACTGGTCGGTCTAAGTTCATATCCTCGTCAATGGTCATGAGCTTTGGGTAGTGACCAAAAAAATGAGATACAAGCAGTCAGGACAACAGAGCTGCTTCATGGAAGAAGAACTCCAGCTTAGCCTGTTAGCCTTAGCATTAGCACCTGTGACATGTCTGTCATTTTACCTGTCTAATTATCTGATATCGTCTCCTTTCAGCTGATTGGCTGGAAAGATGTTTTAAAGGCAATGAGCTCCACCTGACAGTTGAGCGAGCGGCCTGAGGGGAGAAGTCTCTTGTTTGTTGATCCTGCGCTCCAGCCTCGCTGCCACTCCATTCTGGTCCTTATAGATGTCTGGTTGTTTGGTCTGGGAGTTACCAGCCCTTTTTCCGGTTTTTGTTTGTAGGGTGAGACCCTGGACCGGGGGGCAAGGGGAAGTGGCCTGGATCCGACGTCAACTGCTGGCTGGTTCGGGCTTCCTCCCTCCTTTTGTTTGTTTTGGTTAGGGCTCCCAGTTACTATCTTTTGTTTAAACCCATTAAAGTTGTGTTCTTTCTTAAACACATTTGTGTCTGGACCTTATATATTGTGCGTCCTAGACCCTGGGACCGTAACAGTGCCGATGCTATATTACCTTAAATGTATATATGTATTAGCTCAGAGCTAATATAACAAGCTAACAAGCAGCTCTGTTGTCCTCCATCCACATTTTCAGTTACAGGCTGAGTCATTTCTGCCTTCTCTCTGTCAATGCTCTCTGGTTTCATTTAAAATAGCCGATCATCAGATATTGTCCAAGATTAACCTGCAGGACGGAAAAAGCTCGCTCACTGCCTCGCACCGATGAGCTAATCGACGTTATCATTTACCCAACATGCTTAGTGTGTAAATAAAATGGCTCAGTCCGTGTAATATATTTTTTAACGTTTAGTTTAAAAATGATAAAAACTGAACAGACTACAGTATTTTTACAGTCTTTATTTTACAGTTAAAATGTTTATCAAATAAAGTCTAATGTTACAACTAATCGTGGATCACTTTAATTCTCAGCATCTTTCAAATCGGTCTGTCTCAATCTTGGTTTTTCATCAAAAATAAAAACTTAAAGAGACACTAAAATGTTTAAGTAATGACAGAACATTGATATAGTGCTAAAATATTGTAGGTAAATGAAGAAAAATGAACATTTACTCACTTCTGAGTACAGTAAATGCTGTGGGTCTAAAAGTTTTTAAGTGATATGAAGATATAGTTAACGCTGTGAGGTAAACAAGCTGAATAATCTTCATCTACAAACAATCAGTTATATACAACACTGGATATGTTTCACTCATTTCACATTTTAATGACCAACAGCTGATTACTCATCATCAATAGATGATCAATAATAAATGTTCAGATGCTATAATACAGCTTTTTTCATCAGACACTAAATCCAAGGTTCTGCTATACTTCCACTCATTTTTATTATTTTGCTGTTTGTGTCACATTGGTGAATAAAATGTCCCAAAACAAAAGTATTATAAACACCAAGATTGCAGATTATTCTGTAATCTGAAGTTCTCTGCATATCATATGTTGGACAAAACAATAAWATATCATCAACAGATTGTATATTGGATGTTGTTGATCTTTGTGCCTACTTTGTTTGTTGAACCAGAGCTAGATGATTTCAAAGGTCCAAAGCAGGGGGGGCATGAAGACAAGTCTCTGGTCCAAAAGCAGGACTTTGACTCTCCTGTGAATCAAAGCTTCAGASCTGAATATTAAAATGTTTGCTTGTTTTTCTGTTTGTTCACTCCATCAGGAAAGTGTTGACCTGGGAGAGATCATGTTCTCGCTCTGCTACCTGCCCACCGCAGGTCGACTCACCCTCACTGTCATCAAGTGCAGGAACCTGAAGGCCATGGACATCACTGGGTACTCAGGTGGGCTGGCCAACATGACCATCMTGTTTGGAGACATGTCAGAGAAAATGAGAAAAAGAAATTCTGTTTATTTCAGCGTTTTGCTGCACTTGTGATAATAAAAGTTTGTCAGCAAACAGACGTAGGTGGTTTGTTGTTTTAATAGTCTGCACTTCTACTGTTCTATTAAACCTTGCCCCCTAAAATTGGGATATCACTTGTAAAAKGTGACATTTATGGTGCAGAAACTCSGCGGTTCAGGTGGAACTCAGATTAAATGTGGTATTTTTTCTCTTCCTCCCTCAGTTAATGACATTTCACATTTCTGACGTGACTCACAGTTCTAATCCTCTGATTTTTCCGGGCTTTAGCTGTCTGCCATTATTTCAGGCTACGCATTGTAAACCTAAATCTGTTATGTTGTGCCTWCAAGCATATCGGGCTCTTTATAGATTTAGAGCAGCTTATATCTAACTTAAACTTTAGATAATGGATTGTACACGGGGCTTTATCCCAGACAAATAAAGACTGAAATCTGCATCAGGAAGCKTTTCTCTGTCATGCTGTTCAGCAGCTATCTTTGGTCTCCCGTTCTTTTTGTTTACTAGAGACTGTGTGACTCACGTTCTACACATTCCTGATGCCAGGTTCTGGTTGAAAAAAATATAACAGAGGGAAGACTTCCTGTTGCAGCAGTGAAACACTGAAACTTTGTCATGATATTTATTATTACTGATATTCTCTCTTATTAGATCCTTATGTTAAAGTATCGCTCATTTGTGATGAGAGGCGCTTGAAAAAGAAGAAGACGAGCATCAAGAAGAACACCTTGAACCCCACCTATAACGAGGCCATCATCTTTGACATCCCTCCAGACAGCATGGACCATGTCAGCCTGCACATCTCAGTCATGGACTATGATCTGTAAGTACTGTAAAAACTGGAGTTKAACCAGCAACTCGCTTGAATTTTTGTCATTTTTAAACAATTTCCTTCAAAAGTTATTTTTATTTAAAGAGAGTTGTGTGTGTTTCAAACCCATTTAAAACTCTTCTCAAAGTAGTTTCAATAAATTATGCAGCACTGCATRAGAGCTCTTTTATGACAGAAAACATCTGGGGCTACAGCGACAAATACTTAGATTTATTAAAACAAAGTATTACTTCACTTCATTTGTTGAAAACCTAACTGTTAAGGTGACTGTATAAACGGGTGCAATGTGAGCATTACCATAATGTGCACAGTCAGTTTTACACACAGATTTTTTTTCACAACAGAAAGTGAGGTCAGAGATCGCTTCAAACCTTTAGAATTCAGTCAGAATCCATCTGAAAGTTTGTCTAAACTTTAAGCAGCTAAAGGCTGAGTCACACTACAAGATTTTAAACCATAACAATGGAGGTACGGAACACGGCCCACTCGGACTCGATGTCCCCCACTTTACCCGGAATGTGTTCAAAGTTCTCTCTGAGGTGTGAGTTGAAGCTCTGTCTGACGGGAGACTCTGACAGACGTTCCCAGTAGACCCTCACTATAGGTTTGGTTCTGCCAGGTCTGACCGGTATCCTCCCCCACCAACGGAGCCAACTCACCACCAGGTAGTGGTCAGTTTACAGCTCCGCCCCTCTCTTCACCCGAGTGTCCAAAACATGCAGCCGTAGATCAGATGAAACAACAACAAAGTCGATCATTAAACTGTGGCCTAGGGTGTCCTGGTGCCAAGAGCACATATGGACACCCTTGTGTTTGAACATGGTGTTCATCATGGACAGTCCATGATGAACACAGAAGTCCATCCATCCATCCATCCATCCATCCATTTTCTGTTCACGCTTCTTCCTTTTCAGGGTTGCGTGGGTCACTGGTGCCCATATCCAGCAGTCACAATGTGAGGAGCGGGGTACACCCTGGACAGGTCGCAAGTCACAGAAGTCCATTGATTTTTAATAATCTTTTCATGTTAAATAAATAAATAAATTCAATCAAATCAATCAAATCATTAACAAAACAGCTCAGGTTCAGATCGGGGGGTGAGGGGGGTCCCTTCCAACCACGCCTCTCCAGGTTTCACTGTCATTGCCCACGTGAGCATTGAAATCCCCCAGCAGAACGAAGGAGTCCCAGTTAGGAGCGCTCTCCAGCACCCACTCCAAGGACTCCAGAAAGGGTGGGTAATCTGAACTGTTGTTGGGCTCATGGGCACAAACAACAGTCAGGACCTGTCCCCCGACAGACGTAGGTGGAGGGAGGCTTCTCTCTCATTCACCGGGGTGAACCACAACGTACAGGCACCAAAATGGGGGCAATAAGTATGCCCACTCCTGCTTGGCGCCTCTCAGCATGGGCAACTCCAGAATGTAAGAGTGTCCAACCCCTCTCAAGGAGACTGGTTCCAGAGCCAGAGTGTCGAGGTGAGTCCAACTATATCTAGTCTGAACCTCTCAGCCTCACACACCAGCTCASGCTCCTTCCCCACCAGAGAGGTGACATTCCACGTTCCTAGAGCCAGCTTCTGTAGCTGAGGATCGGACCGCCAAGGTCCTCGCCTTCGGCCACTGTCCAGCACACATTGCACCCGACCCCTACGGCCCCTCCCACAGGTGGTGAGCCCATGGGAAGGGGGACCCACATCTCCTCTTTGTGCTGTGCCCGACAGGGCTCCATGAGTGAAAACCCGGCCACCAGGCACTCACCAACGTGCCCCACCTCCAGGCCTGGCTCCAGAGTGGGGCCCCGGTGACCCGCGTCAGTCCATCTATTGTATTCATCATAGGGGTCTTTGGGCTGCATTTGGGCTAGCTCCTAGGATCACTGGGACACTCAAACCTTTCCACCATGATAAGGTGGCAGCCCAAGGAGAGGTTCAGTAACTTCAACTAATAAAATGTTTAATTGGTGACTCTTATGCTTTCTAGTGATAATTCTTGTAGCTCTTTTCTGTAAAACAAAAACAGGATTTGTAATTGTTTTACGCTCCTTTTCCCCAAACACCAATACAGTATATTAAGTGTGGAACAGTTATTGCATTATACATAAAGAGTGCTTTATCATTAAGTCCTTTACTTTGCACAGTACTGTAATAGATTTAACTGTTTTTGTTCTTAAACGATTTATATGAGCTCTCCGTGTCAGCTTTTCATCAATGATGACACCCAAAACCTCACCTCACTGACTCTACAAATCTCAAAACTACCGAGTCTTAATGACATCAACAGTTCTCTTTCTATTACTGAAAATCATATCTTATCTAAATGTAACACTAATTTATAAAGTTTAAACCAAGTTTTTTTTATTTTAACAATTTCTGTCTGCATCATCACCAACATCCATTCTATATTTTTACCAAAACAAAAAAATGTAGTATCATCTGCAAATAAAACACATTTAAACAACCCTGACACATTAACCAAGTCGTTTTCATATAAAATAAATCACTTTGGTCTGAGCACAAAACCCTGAGGAACTCCACATGTGATGTTGCAGAGTGCAGATCTTACATTATTTATTTGTATAAAATTTTTTCCTATCCATTAAATAGCTAGAAACCCACTGTAATGCTGGTCCTCTAGTACCATATTTGTTCAATTTTTCAAGAATAATATTGTGTTCAGTGGTGTCAAAAGCTTACTTGAAGTCAACATAATTACTAGCACAGTAATATTTTTGATAACAGCAGTTCTTATT